ACCCACCCACCCACCCACCTACCCGCTTCTGCAAGGAATGGATTTGTTAATCTCCTTTTTGGTGTAGGTGACGGGAGTGAGTGAGAAGAATGGGAGTGGATGACGAGGCGAGTGAAAGCAGTGAAGGAGTAAGTGGAGGGAGCGAGTGAGGGGAGTGCGTGAGCGGATCGAAGTGAGTAGTGAGTGCTGGTGAGTGAGCCGATTGACCGCTTTTGGCGCAAAAAACCCGTCTGATTTACTGCTTTCTGCGGGAACACCGGTCCGATTGACCGCTTGTTGCGGGAACACCGGTCCGATCCGCTTCTTGCGGGAACGCCGGTCTGATTGACCGCTTTTTGCGCGGATCACCGGTCCCGATTGACCGCTTTTTGATTGACCGCTTTTGGCACAAACATGTAAATATGCATAAGAAAGAGAGGGTTTAGGGTTTAGGGGAATCTTGTGTCAACCTGGCTCAGGCTACATCCCGCAGGGATTCATGATCCCGGACCCCAAGCGGCATGCGGAAATCATCGGGCGCGAAGACCTGATGGATCCGGACAGCACAGGGCACCGAGTCTTCACAACATCATTCCGAGCCACGTAGGCACGTGATCCAAGCACTCCGAAGTGTCTTTGCCAGAGGAGCCGATCCCCTGGTACGAGTGGGCAGAGAAGTTCCCCGGGTTGATCCGATTCAATGAGAAGGACACGGGGCATGGTTGAGGAAGACCAACATAGGGTGTCTGAGTTGTCGACGAAGTCTTGTAGCTTTTCTTGAAGCTCTTCGCAACACATGAGCGAGTTCCGGGTCGAGCGCACACAAGGACTTCACAAAGGGGTTAATCTCGAGTGCATGGGTGCGTGTGCATGAAATCGGACGATCTGTTTGCCGAAGTCCGCCAATACCGTAGTAGTAGAAAGGTCCCACCTCACCCCATCAAAGATCAACCACACATCGGCCGGGCTCAGGACCAGGTGATCACTATTTCCGTGCGAGCCCACGGCTTCTATGGTGAGAAGGAGCTGCGCCAGTCCTTCCCAGCCGGAACCTCGAGGGGCACTTTCCAACGACCTGCAAGACAGCATCTGTGTGCTGAGACCCACCTCCCGGTCCCGGCGCATCTGCAGAAAGCCGACGCCAAGCCAGCTTCAAAGGAGGACTTCTTCGTGAAGCTGGAGGAGCTTGGATGTGAAAAGATCATAAAGTGTCGGCTTTCTGCAGCTCTGGTGATTTGGAGGGGCTCCGCGGAGCCATTATCAGTCCGAGACCTTGAGAGTTGAGTCGTTCCACGAGGACCAACCGATGCCAAACTACGATGTCGGCATCAAGCCAGAGATTCACACCAAGTACCGTTGATGCCTTAGCTGTGCAGTCTTGCAAGGGCCGCAAGGGGCTCCTGTTGACCACATGGTGATTCATGGTGGATCCGCTTTTGGTGCAAGGTCAGCCACCGCTCAACGACCCCAACTGGCGTGCCTCGGCTGAGTGGATGCTTATCCCTGCAGGGCCAGGGCCTATATCAGGATAGCTTGTAAAGCGATTGCTGCATCTTGGAGTTGTCTTTCACATCTTCGGTCAGCTAGCTTCGCGAGCACATCTACTGTAGTTGCATGGCAACAGTGGTAACTATGGGCTAGTTCTCCAGCCCTAATGGTATCATTTGGAAACGAAATCCTTGTTTGTTGCCAGTTTACAGTACCTTTTGGCATTGACTCCTGTCAACATCGCCGTCCCGTGTTGACTGATATCCTTCCCATAAGAGCTGGAATCAATCACTGGCACGGTTCGAGCACTGCGACAAGCGCTTCCGAGTGATTCACCCGCGATTCAAGCACCAGCGGTTCAAGCACACCCAGCCAGATTCAAGCACCGGCGCCGCGAAGCGTTGGTGACTCAAGCGTTAGCTGATTCACTCGGCACTCTATGGGTGGTGTCAAAGGGTTGCATGTGCAGGTAAGCAGAGCCTCGTGTTGTTTCGGGTTCTGGCTCGTTCAAAGCACCCATTTTCAACTCAACTGCTTGACAAGTCGGATGTCATGAGGGAAAACCATGAAACACCGACGACTGAGTCGGGAGACTCAACGGCCGGAGTGGGAAACAGGCCAGAAGGATAGGCAATAGGCGAGAGTCTGAAAAGCATGCGGCCAGAGATGGCCAGAGTCAACAACCTGTGCACGTTTCCTAGACTTCAGGTTTGGGACAGCGAGGCTTTCCTTGTCACGATATGGGTGGCATTTGCAGCAGTCACTCCTTCCAGAATATCGGGCTTGCCACCCATTCTACCTTCGACCCCTGACAGGGTTTTGGCAGGCTTGGGTTTGTTTGGACCAGTCAATGGTTTTTAAAGTTTTTTTTATATCGCAGCTGCTCAGGATTTTTACCCGCCCTTTGAGGTTTCTGGAAGCCGACATTCCTTCAAGCGTTGTTTTTGCGCAACCCTCCACATTCACTGTTAGCACTCCTTCTACACAGTTTGGGGTTTGCACAACGAGACTCCCCTTGTTGCAGATTCTGCAGCCCTCACTCCTTTTGCGCTGTTGGGCTTGCCACGCATTCTACCCGATCGGGTTTCGGGTTTTGTCAACCGTCACTGTAGCCCCTCCTTGTGGCAGGTACAGTCTGGGAAAGAGCATAATGACGAAACGGAGTCCGGACACTCCGAAACACTGACAGGGATTGAACAAATCAGAGCTCCACATAGCTGTGCGGTGAAGAGGCGCGTCTGGCTTCCCGCCGAGACACTCGAAGTGCAGTCACTCCTTCAGGGATTGGGCTGGTCCGCTAAGCCTCACTCCCCAAGTAACGTGAGCCATTGTGAGCCTATGTAGCCTATAACCCTTACTTCTACGCCCTTAGGGCTGTGTAGGGCTGGGTTTCACGACGGGGGAACCGGGCAGGAGGGCGCGGCAGACCTAAAGCCCCGCATGAGCCACCCACAGCGTGCGAATTTCGTGGATCTCGACGTGACATCCGTGCGAGAATCGTGTCGGTGCGCATCCGCGGGATTTGTGTGCAAATCCTGGTGCCATTTTTTTGCGCGCGAACCTTCAATTAATCCGAGCCTATCTACTACGGCTTGCGGTCGGGGCATTTAGTTTAGGACTATATCCCTTCCTTCTACGGGTTTTGGGTAGGGCTTGGGTTTGACGACTCGGGAACCGGGCAGGAGAGCCACGAGACCTGAGCCTCGCGTGGCGTGTGAATCGTGAATCTTGACGTCCGTGTGCGGATCGTGTCGCTGCGCGCACCCGGCTGCCCAGTGGCCGAATCCGAATCCGGCGTTTCTTAGCGCGCGAATCTCCGGTGCCGGGATCCTCGGCGCCAGTGGTGGCCGAATCCCCTGTGCGCGGATCCGCCGAGTCCGCGGCACTCGAATCCTTTGCACCAGTGAGCGAACGCGGTCGTACGCGTGCGAATCGGTCTTTCCACTGCGCGAAGCGGCTCTTTTACCTTCTATGAGAGAGTGTTGAGTATCTTCAAGACTTCAGGGCATCAATATGAATATGTCACCGTGTCGAAGCCAGCTTTTACAGCCAGCACTCTGCCAGGTGAGTTCCCGGTGCCGGATCGGAAGCCCATCACCATGGACTTCAAGGCCCCAAGCCTCCAAGGGATCCCGGCCCCCCAAAGAATGCTCCATGGCGCTTCCGCAGACCATCGTGGAGCGCGCTGGGCCCTTTGAGCCCACCGAGAAACCCGGCCTCAAGAAAGCCAAGGAGGCGAGGTCAGCTTTCTCCGTCTCCCCCCCTTTTCCCGCACCAAAAGCAGTTCGGCCGTTTGGCGCCCAGGCGGATGGCGATGACTGAGATCCGCACTTTTCCGCAGGGCGCGCCGTTGCGCAAACTGACGCCCTGCGCAGCAGAAAATCGCATAGGCATAGTGATCATAGTCTCATGAAGCGGCGTCTAGAGGCAAGCCTGCATCAGTGCCTAGAATGACATACTGCGGTTGTTGCAGAAGAGTGAGCTGCCCCGCCCGCGTCCAGACATGCTCGCAGTGGTGCGAAGGGCGTCGGAGATTGAACCTGCCAGGAGCTGACAGTGTGTTTTCCAAAAGCCCATCGGACTGACCGAGATCGAACTGCCTCAGGAAGAGCAATTTGCAACATGCCATCATGTTTCGGGTTCGGGGCACGCGCAGCGCTTTGGTTTATGAAAGAAAGGTGCTTACGGTGAACGAATGTCCAATCAAAGAGATGCCTCTTTCTCCTAGCAGGCCCTGGCAGGACAGCCTCGCTCGGATGCTTGCTGTCTGCGCACCGCCAAAAAGGAAGTTGCGAGAACCGTGCAGCGGCTGCCAGAGCCCTTGATCCTGCGGCCGGCCGTGGGCCGGTAACCAGCCCTGTCCTTCAAGCGCTGCGAGATGCCTCGGCTTCAGGAACAGGAACGATGCGGCCCACCCTTGTTAGACCATGCCTGCACCCCTGATCCCACTGCAATCCACTGCAGCAAGCGAAGCTTTCCCAGCCGTCCCAACCGTACCGTGCCACCCCTGTCTGCGGTTCGTTTCGCCGTTTGTGTCATGGCGCTTCCGAAGTGGCTGGACCGCACGTGGCAGGAATCTGGGGTGGGCATAAAAGTCGTAAGCGAGGTAAGACGGTTTTGAGCCGACAGTGACATTCGGCTGACGCCCCTCAGGCCGTTTGTGGACCTATCCAGCTGCTGGAATGACCTGGCCAGAACTGCCAGGGGAGGGAGGTTGGAAGTCAACTAATCCGGAATGAGATGTCTAAGGCAGCGCAGAGCTGGCGTATGGCGTTGCTTTCATCTCTGTCTTCCCATGGGTACTGGGTAGAGTCTGTAGAAGTAGAGGGATCTGCCTCCTGCTGATTGCTGTCAGTCCAAGCTTGCAGCTGCGGAGTCGGCCCAGAAGGCCCGGAGCGGAGGGTCGCTCTGTTGCTGATGGCAATGAGGCGATGAGGATGCTGAAGAGTAAGCGATGTTTTCAGAGCTGTTGTGTCAATGATGACCATGATCAGATTTCATTTAGCATCCACTGCAAACACCATGCTCGTCATCGTCTTCATCAACAAACATCATGGTAGACACCACGAGTTATGGTCAAGCTGTCAACAAAAACAAGTCATTGCTGTTTGCAGGTTTCCCGGTGGTGCATTAGAATGCTACTTCGACTGTTGTAGGATACCAGAGCTTCCCGCACCTAAGGGCAGCTTAGCTGACTGCCCTCCAAGTGACCGTGTGCTTTCGTTCATGCTGCATGCTGAGCAAACTGCCAATCTTGAGCAGCTATTTGCTGATGGTTGCTTCTTGCCTCGCTGGGACACTGAAAAGGGCGCAGCTCCCAAGAGTATGTGATCCGTGGTTGCAGACATTGTATGACCGTACAGCAGCATCATGCGAGTTGCAAGAGCTGGCGCTAGGGGCCTGTCAGAAGTGTCGATCGTCCGGTGGTTTTCTGCTTGGCGCCATCAGCGACCATTGCCGAGGCCGTGGCGCACTCCACGATGCTGGCGATGGCACACCTGCTGCAAGCGACCACCGGGGAGGAGATGCTGCAGCTTCGAAGTCCCGAGCCCTGCTCAAGAGCCGGTGTTGAGTGGTGCATCTGCGGCATTTCTGACATCTTCCGACTCCAGCTTTGAAGTACCGGACAGTCCATGAAGTGAAAGAAGTTGAAGGTCTGCAGCCTCCTGCGCTAGTACCTTCCCAGCTTTCACAGCTTTTGCAATAGCATGACTAGCAGACGAGCAGGCCAGCAAGGTCGGACACAGAGAAGCCGTGAAGTCCTGACAGAGAGCCTTCGCTTAAAGTGCACCAAAGCCTCAGTACGGCCAAACTAGACCAAGTCCCAGCCCCGCCCAGCGCCATGCTTTCCCGGCTATGGGGCTTCGTGCAGAGCATTACATCCAAAAGGCGCCGTGCTTGGTTTTGGGCTGGGAGTCTCTGCGAAGCTGGGGATCCGAGACTTTGTTCTCCGATATGTGTCATAGCGACGAGACTCTTACCTGGTGTGCAAGGCTTCTTGAGTTCTTCCGTGATTCCTGCAGACAGACACTGGCCTGGGTTCCTACCAGCTAGAATTTGTGGCCCGTGACATCTTAGACAAGCTCAACTTAATGCCTTCCTGTCTCGGGAGAGGCCTTCGTCGGAAGAGGCGCCGCCGGCAAAGCGGGCACGCGTGCAGAAGCTCGGCGACGAAGTCCTGCTTAATGAGGGCTGGGCAAAGATGCTTCTTTTGCTGTGTCCGCGCTGTGCTAGAGATTCATCCCGCACAGACTTTGCAGATCGTTTCGGAGGCTTGTGCAAGCAAGGGATGCTTTCTCTTCGACAATCCGTGGCCTGTAGGAGTTCGGTGCATTCAGAACAGATCGACACAGGTTAGCGGACGATGACCAGGGAAGCTTTCCGAGCTCCGTTGGAAGCCCCGCCTTTTGGGAAGATGTATCTGTCGTCTATCGGTGTGACTTCACAGTTGCTGCTATCGCTACACTCCTGCATTGTGAGAGCGACGCAGAAGTGCAGCTTGTGCTAGTGGGGTTGCTAGCAGCTGTTGGGCTGGAGGGCATGCCTTCGGCTTCAGCCTGACAGCTAAGGACAAGCGTCGATAGCAACGCGCCTGAGGCTGAGACTGTGCCTTGACTGATATAGAAGGGGCTGCAGCGATGGAAGGTTGGGGGTGAGCGAGAAAGTGGAACAGGATTGTTGCACCTTCGTTCTTCGATTCTTGTTTTGCCGGGGACACAACAAGCTTTCCACAAGTTTCTTTTCACACGCCTTCCGGACTGGCTAGCTTTGATTTCGGGGGTTGCTGTTCGGAGGGATGCCTTCCCCACTCGACTTGAACGCAGCATCTTGGTAGTGGCACTGGTCCTTCCGGTGGAGCTTCAGGCGCGGCCTGCAACGGCTTTCGCTTCGCAGGCCTCTGCAAAGATTGGGATTCGATCTTCAGCATGTGGGGATCCCGACCGGTGCGCTGAATCCGCATCGAATCCGCATCCTTTGCATGCTGCCAAGGTGTCGGGAGGTACTGAGCTTGCTACCGTTTGCATGCATCTAGCTTCCCCAACGTGACATGAAGTCTGGCACTTCTTTTGCCCGCCGGGGGGGAGAGGATTTTCCATAAGAGCTCATCTGCTACGCGAAACGTCCCCATCCCCTCAAATGTGGAGGCCAGCGGGCCACCGGTTGAGGCGTGGTTTGAATCGTAACATGGGAGAGGTCTGGAGATTGAGAGCATGGATTGCGGATTCGTTTCGGGCGTTTTCGGGCTTCCTTGGGTTGCAAGCAGTCATCGCTTGTCAGCTCGTTTTGGCCAGTACAAACTCGTACTCCTCGGAGATGCGGGAGTCGGCAAGACGTGCTTCGTCGGGCACCGAGAGGAAGCAAGGCTGTGTTCAGATGAAGGGGTTGACAGTGAGCGCCCGAGCTATCAGAGAAAGAGGTGTCCCAGGAAACGGCATCTGCTGAGAGTCTGAAGGTGAAACGGCACGTCACAGGGGAGTTTGTGAAGAAGTACCGGCCCACAGAGGTAGGTGCCTCAGCTCGGCGATGAACGCATCCCGGCGCAGGATCTCTTTACAGTCTAGAGTCTAAAGCCCTTATAGCACAAAGGACAGGAACAGTTTAGGCTTGCACTGCTCTGCATAGCATGCGCAGGGCTGCGAGATGAAGAAGCTGAAGATTTCGACCAGCCGCCTCGACGGAAGTGGAATTGGTCGTCCCGAGAGATTTCTTGCTGAACCGAGTGCCCAGGTAGAGGTCCCGTTCTCTTCCAGGTCTGGGACACGGCTGGCCAGGCACACGGGATGAAGGGAGAGCACATCACGGGAATCTGTAGCCGAGCTCGTGCAGAACACGCAGTTCGTGAAGTCGCTGCATGGAAAGACAGACCTTTCAGGATCACCTTGCCGGGCTCCGGGACGGATACTTCATCGGCGCCCCTATCGGCAGAGAGTCCTTGCGAACATCAGAACGTCAGCCTTGATTGAATGCTGAGGTTGTCATCAGGTTTCTAGGCATGTTTCTGGTCTCATGCGTCCGTCATGTGTGTTCGCCTGCAAGGTGCGCGATGTGCTATGGTGTTCTTCGATGCCGCGGCCTAGACATTCCTTTACCAGTGAGAACATAAACCATGTCATGCATTCCAAGTGTCGGGACTCGACCGATTTCACGTTATACCGAAGCCTTCTTGAGACTGTTTCGCGCAGTACAGGCCCGACATTTCCAGACTGCCGTTCCAAGGTGACGAAGCGGGAGAGCCACCAGAACCTGGCGAAGTGGGTCACAGACCTGAGGCTGGGTTTCTTCGCTAAGTAGCTCGGCGTCCCTAATCTGCCTCTCTGATGAGGAAGGTGGCTGGTGACATTCCTGTGGTGGTCGTTGGGAACAAGGTTGATGCTCCGGGCAGAGTGGTCAAGGCTCGCATTCTTCTGTTTTGTGCACCTGTTCAGGGATGTGGGTTGCCAGGGCAAATGCCTTACTTCCTTGATGCAATTGAAAAATTGAATTCTGCCGCTGTATGCTTCAATTGTTCCATTGCATAGCCTCGGATGACTCATGACTCTGGCAGGCACAAGAAGGTTCTGTGATCATGCGCAAGTTGAAGGCGGGGCACGTGACAAGAGAAGCATGCATGTTGAGAACTTTCTATTCCGCATGCTGCAGCCGGCTGCGTCAACAGCGTCAGCATCTGCGATCGGGCACCCAGGTTCAGTACTACGACCTGAGTGTGCGACTTGTCCCGAAAGTGCGGTAACTTCTTCCACAGCTCGCAAGCCACACAAGGATGGAGGCTCGAAAGGACAAACGGAGTGGATGAGCACAAGTGAAAGCCCATTCATGAAAGGGGAATGTTGATGAGGGGATCCAAGGCTCCTCAATGTTGCAATTGTGGGGATTCGGGGATGTCATGATCATGACACCTGACGGGCACGGAACCAGCTGGTTCTTGCAGCAGTGCGTGTGGGGTTATTGACATTGATTGATACAGTAGACGTTTGCCCCACAGCTCGGGAGTGTCGAAAACGTGGATGCAGCTACACGAGTTGATATCTGTGTTTCCATGCCGTAGTTTCATGTGATGTGAGAGATTGAAGACCATCACTGTCAAAAGATAGCATCATGACCGCTGTAGCTCCTGGTTGAAACTGGCTTTTCTTTTCTATTTTAACTTGCTGAGGCGAACGCGCTTCAACGTGGAGGTGCCGCTTCGCAGAGTAGGAAAGGTAGGATTGTGTGTGTTGCAGGTGTAGATGGAGATGGAAAGCTTTCACCTACAGTTTTCCGAAGCCTTCTGCCGGGGCCTCCTGTGAAGGTGCCGTTGCTTTTCCTATCCCGGCGGCTCCTGGGAGACAGCAGTCTTAGGCGCGTTTCGGCTCAGATCTTTTGTTGTGGGCTGTTTCGTGTTCAGCCATTCGCCAGTTCCAACAGTAGCAAAGCCTCACCAAGACTGTTTTCATCATATGAGGTGCTATGACTTTTAGGGGCTTAGGGTTTAGGAATAAATGTATGGGATTTTACGGAGGGATTGGAGTCTTGTCGATTTCAGACACACGCCTTCGATGTGGAGGTGTCCACCATGATCCCTGCTGCATGTCCGCTAGGCCCTGGAATCCCTAGAGCCATGATCTTAAACTTTAGTTACGGTTCAGAGCTAAGGACTATAGTGCCACAAGACATGTCACCGACTTACCAGGTTCATCTGTTGACTCAATGGATAACGAATGCATTAAGATCTCGTTCAAATGTTGCGACATGTCTTGTAAAAGCGGAGAGTCCCGAGAAGACAACGGCGTTCCTGGCACTTCACACCGGCCAGAGCTTGCGTTCTGGCTCGGCCTTGTGGGCGATCTTATACTTGTAAGTGGTGATCATGCCGCTGGGTAGCAACGTCGCCATGGCTTTCGCCCTGGCGGTGTACCGCTTTGTGGACCACCGTCGAGCGGCTCGTGCTTTGGCCGTTGCTGTGCTTCTCGTGCTT